TGTTTTCCTAGGCTCTTCAGGAGATGCTTTCTGTATTCTCTATACCTGTGGACTGTGGCCAGCATTCCTTTCAAGAGAAGAACAACTTGACATGTGGACACAGATTTAACCAGAATTATTACTTCCTGAATGCCATCTTTTCCTTCCTCTGAATATTGATTTCACCTGCTCTTTAAAAAATACGTTTGTTTGGAATGGCTTTTCAGCATTATTTTCACACCCACATTAAGAACACATGAATCTGCTTAAATCTATGTTCTGAGAGAAGGCAAATTTGCAAGTCGATCAAATTGTCTTGCTGAGTTTTTTTTTTTCTCAGAGATTTTATTTATTTATTTGACAGACAGAGATCACAAGTAGGCAGAGAGGCAGGCAGAGAGAGAGAGGGGAGGAAGCAGGCTCCCCGCTGAGCAGAGAGCCTGATGCGGATCTCGATCCCAGGACACTGGGATCATGACCTGAGCTGAAGGCAGAGGCTTTAACCCACTAAGCCACCCAGGTGCCCCCTGCTGAGTTTAATCTGTTGCATGTATGTATCATCCTCCAGCCATCTTCTTCATAGGCTGCATTCCTACTGTATCAAGGTCTGCTCACAAAGGACAGCCCTCCTGAGTTTTTGTCGTTTGCCAACAATTTCCTGTTGGGAGATTTGACTTGTCTGCCTGAGCAGATCAAGACAGAAGTCCACCCACAGCTGTAAGAATGGCTGCCACATGTCCCCAAGCAGAGAGAGGAATTGCCTTCTTCCAAAGAGAAAAATGGGAGAAAATACCACCAAGGCACCCACAATCTCGCTGATAACACAAGTTCCCCAAACAACTTGTTTAAAAGACTTCCCAAACATGAGCAACATAAACATGAACAACCCCATCCAGCAACGAACCTTCTAAATCTAAATTCTTTTTTTTTTAAGATTTTTATTTATTTATTTGACAGGCAGATGATAAGTAGGCAGAGAGGAAAGCAGAGAGAGAGAGAGAGAGAGAGAGAGAGAGAGGAGGCAGGCTCCCCACTGAGCAGAGAGCCCGATTCGGGCCTCAATCCCAGGACCCTGGGATCATGACCTGAGCCGAAGGCAGAGGCTTTAACCACTGAGCCACCCAGGCGCCCCTAAATCTAAAATTCTTTACCTCAAGCACGAGAATCATAGAAACCAAATCCTCCCCCTTATGCATTCAAATCTCAGTAGGATGGTACACAGAAAATGTTCTCCCTGAGGCCCTCAATCCAACAGTCATTCTAGGGCCCAATCGCCACAATGCATTGGATCCCAAAACAACTTTTTTTTTTTCTTTTTAATTGATTTGACAGACAGATATCACAAATGGGCAGAGAGGCAGGCAGAGAGAGAGGAAGGGAAGCAGGCTCCCCACAGAGCAGAGAGCCAGACGCGGGACTCGATCCCAGGACCCTGGGATCATGACCTGAGCTGAAGGCAGAGGCTTTAACCCACTGAGCCACCCAGGCGCCCCCCAAAACAACTTTTTAAAAGATTTTATTTATTTATTTGACACACACATACACACAGAGAGACAGAGAGGGCACAAGCAGAGGAAGCTGCAGAGGGAAAGGGAGAAGCTGGTTTCCCGCTGAGCAGGGAGCTCCACACCAGGACCCTGGCTGGGATCATGACCTGAGCCGAAGGCAGACGCTTAACCAACTGAGCCACCAGGTGCCCCAAGAACTTCATTTTCTAATGCAATGTTGGTAGTCCTACAAATGACAACTCTTATGGAAGCAAAATGGGTTTAAAGAAATGGTAACAGTAGCTCAGATGAGAGAAAAACAGGTAGTAATATGAAGTAGATGATGGGTGGGCCTGAAAAGAATATTTGGGATCGGGGTGCCTGGGTGGCTTAGTGGATTAAGCCTCTGCCTCCAGTTCAGGTCATGACCTCAGGCTGCTGGGATCGAGCTCCGAATCGGGCTCTCTGCTCAGTGGGGAGTCTGCTTCCCTCTCTCCCTCTGCCTGCCTCTCTGCCTACTTGTGATCTCTGTCAAAAAAGAATATTTGGGATTAATTTTGTTTGTTCCTGCAGCGAATAATTAAGACTACATTTCTCTCATTTTAAAAGACACAGGCAAAAATCGACAAGGCAAGAAACAAGTGTTGGAGAGGCTGTGGAGAAAGGGGAACCCTCTTACACTGTCGGTGGGAATGCAAGGTGGTACAGCCACTTTGGAAAACAGTGTGGAGGTTCCTCAAAAAATTAAAAATAGAGCTACGCTATAACCCAGCAATTGCAGTATTGGTATTTGCCCCAAAGATACAGATGTAGTGAAAAGAAGGGCCATCTGTACCCCAATGTTCATAGCAGCAATGGCCACAATAGTCAAACTATGAAAGGAGGCGAGATGCCCTTCAGCAGCCAAATGGATAAAGAAGATGTGGTCCATATATGCAATTTTATGAATTATGAATTATGAATATTACTCAGCCATCAGAAAGGATGGATACCCACCATTTGCATCAATGTGAACGGAACTGGAGGGGATTATGCTAAGTGAAATAAGTCAAACAGAGACAGACAATTATCATATGGTTTCACTTATTTGTAGAACATAAGGAATAGCATGGAGGACATTAGGAGAAGGAAGGGGAAAATGAAGTGGGGGAAATCAGAGGGGGGAGACAAACCACAGGAGACTATGGACTCTGGGAAACCAACTGATGGTTTCAGAGGGGGAGCAGGTGGGGGGATGGGTGAGCCCGGTGATGGGTATTAAAGAGCGCACGGATTGCATGGAGCACTGGGTGTTATATGCAAACAATGTATCATGGAACATGACATCAGAAACAAATGATGTACTGTATGGTGACAAACATAATAAAAAAATTATTAAAAAGTAAATAAAAAAATAAAAGACACAGGCATACCCTTCCTTCATCCTGCAGCTTTCTCTTGATGCTCTTACAACCTGCCTTCACAGCCAAGTGTCCGTGAAATATCTCCTTTTGCCTTCCCCTCTGGGATGCACGTCAGTTTGGCTTCTGTCCGCACCCACTCCTGCTAGCGTTCCCTCCTGGGATCCTAGATGCTGTCAGGTACTTTCCAGTCCATGTCTTGTTGCCACCTGCTATCTTCAGCACGAGACAGGGCTGACCTGGTCTCCTGGTCTCTTCTTTCTCAGTTTCTTCTCCCAGCTTCTTCCCCCTTCCATACCTCTGTTCCCCACCTGTTTTCCCTATTTTAGATCCTCCCACCCCTGGCTGTGCGCTAATGACTCCCAGGTCTCGGCTTGCTCTCAGCCAGCTCTCCTGACTCCACAGGTGTTTACCCAACTGCCTCCTAGACATCTTCACTTATGTGCCCCAGGGGCACCTCGAACTCCACCAGCCCCAGAAGGAAATCATGTGGCTCTGGGCATGTTAATAGAATTGGGCCTCACTTCCTCAACTGTGAAACAAGGCATTACTGATAGCCACCTCAAACAGAAGCCTGTTACAGAGATTAAATAACACGGAATTGTGTACTGCATAGACTCCAGCACACGGTAAAGAATCTACAAGTGTTTACCATCATTCTACCTTCACTCAAACCCATTCCTTCCTCCCCATAGTCCCCAAATTGACTTACAAATCCACCACACGTAACTCTCATCCAACCAGAACCTTGAGCAGGCTCCGTGACAACTCCCTGTTCCTCAACCTGTCATTCTGTCCCAGGCAGTTCATTCCACTTCCTAAAATTCTGACCTTGTCTTTCCTTCTCCACTCTGTTGCCTTAAGTCCCTGGTATCCCCTGGGGCTTAGAGCCATGCTTTCTGTGACCTCACTCTTGCTGCTACACCTTCGTTCTGAAAGAGCACATGGCATGACACCACCCTCCCCTTAAAACCTGTCTGCCTCCCCACTGCCTCAGGGACAAAATCCAAACTCCTTGTAAGCGTACAGAGGATCTTCGGGACCTGGTCTCAGTCACTCCCTCTCAGTCCATCCCACCCCCTAAGCTTCACGGGTCCTCCTCAGGGGAAGGTGATGGCAAAGTACTCATCAGACTCAATCACTCCACAACTTCTCCAACAGCTGCTTCTTCTTCCAGATGTACCCTGGGTGCCACTTCCTCTGAGAAGCCTTCCTGGACGTCTAGTCGGATGGGTATCTCTCTTCTTTGTTCCCCCTGGGTCTCCGTCCTTAACATTTATCATGCGTTAGGTCTTATCTGCTCATTTGTCTTTCCTCCCCACTAAACTGAGTGGTCTGCCGGCAGAAAGATTGCCTTTTACTTCCATATCCCCAGAACCTAGCAGAGTCGCCAGCCAGCACACAGTTGGTACTCGAGGCACGTGAACCGGGTCAAAGTGCTTCCACCAAAAAGGAAACGTTTGGGGGAATCTGCAGCAAGGGTTAGCGAATCCCGCGACAGAGGGCTTCACGGGGGTTCGAGTATCCACTGCCTGCACTTCCTTCTCAGGGCTTCACTCTCGCAGTTAGAGCAGACAGGGCTGCACAGGCAGAGGCTGCACGGGCGCCTGCAAATGCACGCTCAACGGGCTGAGGTTAAACCCTGCGCCCTTTGTTCCAGGCAGCGGAAAGCAAGTGGGTCCGTGCCCGCCCTCTCGCCCGGGCCGAGTGCAGGGCCTGCTTGGGCAGAATGGCACAAAAACGCACCGGGGAACGCCGCGTCGGGCAGGGGCGCGCGTGTGCGCGGGCCCTTTCCGTGCCAGCCTCCCGACTCCGGTGTCCCGCGCTCCCCAGCGCCCTCGCCGGGGCCCAGCCTCACTGCCGGGCTGTCTCCCGGGCCAGCCGCCACCGCCGGCGGGAAAACGCCGGGCGTCCCGGCGTCACGCGCCAGCAGCCCGGCGCGCGGTGCGCGGGACGGGGGCGGGACGGGGGCGGGGCCAGCGCGCCTGAGGCGGGGCGGGGCGGGGCGGGAGCCGGGCACAGGAAGCGCTGGGAGGCCCGAGCCGTCCCAGGGTGCCCCGCGCGGCGTGGACTCGGGCCGCTGCCGCCATCCCGCTGGCGAGAGGGAGAGAGAGGCCCGCCCGCTCGCCGGTCGGGCCAGTGTGGGCTAGTGCGTGAGGGCGCGGGGGGCCGTGTCAGCGAGACGCAGAGCGCAGCCGCCACCGCCAAACGGACATGTTGGAGCCCAGCGCCACCGCCGCCTCCTTTTCCTCATTCTCCGAACGGGACTGAGAAGGGGCCCGCCACCCTCCGCCTCTGCCGCCCGCCCCGCCGCCTCGGCCGCAGCCTCTTCCTGCCCGGCCTCTAGCTCCGCCGCTCGTCGCTTCCCACCGCCCCTCAGTCCCGGCCGGTTCCCCGGCCCCGCTCCGCCGCGGCGCGAGGTCTATGTGACCGGCGGGCCCGGAGCAGCCGCCGCCGCAGCGCGAACATGGACGCCGTCAACGCCTTCAACCAGGAGGTGAGGAGTGCTCCGGGCTGGGGGGTGCCGGGCCTGCCGCGGGAGCCGGGGCTCCGTTCTCCCGCCGCCGGAGATTTAAAGCTTTGGTCGGGGTGGGGACGCTTCCTGCCCGGGTTCCGGGGCGGCGGGGCCTGCGCGGAGCGGCCTGTGGTCCGGGAGAGGTCGCGGCGGCCACGGGAACCGACCCTATACCCCTCCCCCATCGCCCACCCCCGGGCGGCGACCTCGGGCTGCCCCCCTCGCCCCTTCCGGCGTCCCCCAGCTCGCTTCGGCGCTGGTACCTCTAACTTCGCCCTCTTTCAGGTCCAGGCTCTCTCGCTGTCTGCTCCCAGCCCCGTTACTGGCTTCGCAGTGCCGGGAGCCAGCAAGGGGCTAAGAAAGAAGCGCGGGCGGGCGTGTGGGGTTGGGGGCGGGGGAGCGGGAGCATCTGCCGGTCGCTGGGCTGGCGGAGCGGCGGCCTCGGCTCTCCTGTTGCTCAGGCCGAGTCTCGGCGGCGGCTGGACTCTGATCCCGGGTCTGGGAGGAGGAGTTGGAGAGGGTGTTCATCCTCTTCTCCTGGGATGCACACACTTAGGAAATGGGGTTCCCAAATGAAGAGGGGTGGCTCTTTATCATTTCCAGTCGTGAACGCAATCCTCTTAATGGGCTCCGTGGCCCCAACGTGACACCTAAAAAGTTGAATGGGAGAGGAGTACTTGCTCCGCTTCGGTCGGGTAGAAAGCCGGCTTTGGCCTCCAGTCTCCCACCCTCGCACTTCTTCCGCGGTAGTTAATCCGCGGCTCCCTTCTAGGGGAACATTTACATGTGAAAACCTCCCAAAACCGGGAACAAAGCTGCCTGCCGCCCTAAAGCTCTATAGTTTTATCTCAAGTCATTCCAGGTGCTCTTTTTGGAGCTAGAGTCCACACGTCCTCTTCTTCGGAATGACTTGGGGGGAGGGGACTTGACCATTTAAAATGCAGTTACAGAATGGAAACTGTTGTCATGTGTTGAGTTGGATTATTTTCCTTTTCCAAACACTAGAGATAAACCCAGCATTGAAAAAGTCAGATGTAGTTCTGTAGCTCTAGACGTCTTGATGCGGCGTTAAAAACTTGTATCTCACAATAAGGTTTTGTAATTTCACTTGTAACAGAATTAACGTGCGATAACTTTCCTTTAGATTTGCAGTGCCGTAATAGCCGTAAAATAGGATCCTCCAGTAACACTGCATGGAGGATCTTATTGCCTTACAGATTATCCTAGAAATGATTTGTCTTCAACCGATGAGTGCATAAAATGTCTTAATTGGAGTAGCAACTGGCGTTGGACAGTGTGATGATTTTCAAAATAACGAGATAATATTTTCTAATGTTTGATGGCTAGAGAATTTGTGAGAATGCTCCAAAGATTTCAGGTTTGGAAGTTGACTTGGTTTCCTGAAGGCAAAATTCACTGAAATGTTGGCTGTATGAGGGCAGGGAATTTTGTTCTTTCCTCCTCCCCTCAACATAGGAGGCAAATAATGGTTGAATGCATGAGAATTTTACAAATGGTACAGCAGTTTTTTAAAGATCATAAGTACATTTCTTTTCTAAGATGAACGAAGAAGGGGATTTTTAGAGTATTCTTAAGATCAGAAGTATTTGATTCTGAGTTAAACAATGTGGAAGTTGACATTAAGCAAAATATCTTATGCTCTGGAAAAGTGTGAGCAGGAGTTTTTACTCTGAAAAACCAAAATAAGGTGTGGTAGTGAATTCTCAAAAAAGGAAAATGGTGTTTTAACCTTTTTTAAATGTACAAAATGAGAATTTTCCTGTCATTGTTCACCTTTCTGCTCAAATTTTTATTTCCATTCCTACTCTTTATGAACTCCAAATTACATTATGTTAGGTGAGTGTTGCCAGTTCTAACTTTCTTCTGAAGAAACTTTATGGACAAATTAAGATTCATCCTCTTGTGTTGTTTGATTTGCAGTACTTCTCAGTTATTTCTCCCCACTCATGAAATGTTATTGGTTAGTTTTCCTGTAACCTCAAATCTCCCAAGTCTTAACTTAGTTTTATAAACTTTTAAGTGCGAGCTCAGCTACAAAGCTGTGTCCTGAATACTGTGGTGCTACCAAGGATCTCTGTCTCTTAGGAGCCTGATGGAATAGAGGACGCAAGACTTATGCAAATAACTTTAACATGTGATAGAATAGCTCCCTTTGGGGCCCTTAAAAAGGTTGACTATGGGGGGGGATCAGCAAAGACTTGGCAAGAGAAGGTGGAGTCAGTTTTAGGATTTCAGAAGGTGTAGAAAGTAGTGATTGAAGGGCAGCTGTGCTGAGGAGTGAACAGTAGTTTGATTCCAAAGACTACTGGAAAGTAAAGGTGGTTAAGTAATTTGGGGCATGACAAGTTTCATGTCTGTCTAATGTGTTTAAGTTCCACTTTTAGGCTCTGGGTAAGATGAAGATTTTAAGTAGTGAGGTGATATAATTAAGAAAACTGCTTGATTTGTGTATATATATTGTAGAAGGCAGAGATTTGAGGGAGATGGGCATTTTGAGGACGGAGGTAGAATTGAGTAAAATCTGAACTTGGCACATCTGTAGTGGCAAGGAGAGGAGGGGAAGGATATGGGCCAGAGGAGTCCATGCACCTGCCATATGAAAGGGTTATAAGCACCTTTTAACCCCACATTTTAGGTGCTGGGAATGTGGTGATGCTACTAACACAAGTCAAGCAGTCATCAAAAGCATATTTAGTGGAAGAGGAAATATGTTTGGTTTTTGAACAGGTTGAATTTGAGATTGAGTGGAAAAGTCATGTGGAAATTTTTGGCAAGCAGTTAGTTGGGCATGTAGGACTCAAACTTGGAAGGAACCAAGAAATTGAGGAAGACATCTGGGAGACACTTTCACATGTGCCCTGGAGAAAATTGAGGGAGGAGGGTGTGCCAGGGTGAGAAAAGGAATTAATATTTACTAAGCATCTGTGGTGTATCAGCCATTTTATAAATACATATCTGATAGTCTCACAACCTTGCATAGACATCCACTTGCAGATGAGGTAACTGATTTTCAAAGAAGTTAAATAATAATTGGCCCGGGGGCAGATTGTTAGCTAATGGTAGAGCTGGGATTTGAATGCACATCTCCTCTTAATTGCTGCCTAAAGCTAATATTTTGTATGATACCAGCGGAGTGGTCAGACGTTAAGACTTAGGGAAAAAGCTACCTGTACCCCTGGGGCAAATAATACATTATATATTGATAAAAATAATTAACAAAAAAATGTAAAAAGAAAAGACTTTTAAAAGCTACTAAAATTTGAGAGTAATGGGATCTGAAGTAAGGAATGGTGTTAAAGGAGGTAAGGAAACAAAAATCATAAATGTTGTCTTTTTTAGAAGTTTGGTTCTGAGGGATTTAAGGACAAAGTTGCTTCAAGAATGAAGGGAAAGAAGTACAGTTAACAGTGTAGTAGGAACTAATGGTAGGCCATTTGTATGTTTATATAGCATATATGTGATCTTAGCTTAATAAGTGATGTTGAAGCCCTGGTCTCAGATGGGAGTAGAAGTTTGAGCATGTTGGGGGAGGGAAAGTGTAGAGTAGTACATTTAAAAATAAGAGGGCTTGCTTAGAACACAGTTGTGGATAAAAGGAGCAGTACAGATCAGCACAGGTAAAAGAGGTCAGTATTTCTGATACAGGAAGGAAGATAAAAAGAATGAAGTTATTAAAGACACTCATTAAACAGAGGACTTTTACGGTGAGGCCGTTTGTTAAGTGTTGTAAAAAAAAAATGTTGTAAAAAAATGAGTGACCAATTATAGCCAATACTTGATTGTTTTCTGCTATGTTTATATACTCCTTAATGTGAAGAGTTTGGTATTTTGTAAGTTTGTTGAATGAATAAAAGTTATAGATTGGATTTTTTTAATACATTGATTTCATTTTTAGCCTTTAACCAATCTCTCTAATCCCAAAAAAAGAGTGTATCTTCCCATACTTTTGGGAGGGAAGCATCATCTGTGATTTTAAGACATTTAATTAGGGGCAGCTGGGTGGCTCAGTCGGCTAAGCACCAGACTCTTGATTTTGGCTCAGGGTCCTGAAATCAAGCACATTGGGCTCAAAGCTCAACATGAAGTCTGCTTGAAATTCTCCCTTTCCCTGTGCTCGTCCCCCCACTAGCGCAGGCACCTGTGCAGGCTCTCTCTAAAATAAAATCTTTTTTTTAAAAAGTGCTTAATTAAAATATAAAAAAGGGTAGAGACGATATAACAAGAATGGACAGTTGTTACTATTATAAGTGTTTTTAATTTAATAAAATATTACAGGTTAAAGTCCTTTCCTCCCACAGAGGCAATCAAAATGAATTTAGTATCAATCTGTGGTACATAAATAATATATAATCTGTATTTTGATATCCGTAAGTGGTATATTGTACATATTTGTGGGGTTTTTTCTCTCAAACATTGTTAATATTAAGATCTCATTCTAATGCTGGGTAGTATGCTGTCATTTGAATAAACCATGTTTTATGTATCTGCTTCCCCAGTTGATGAACATTCAAGTTGCTTCTCAGTTGTTGCTGACAAACACTGCAGTAAACTTTCTCAAACATGTCTGCATTGTATAAGAGTTTCTCTGGGACAGCTGTTCTCAGGACTACAGAGAGCTTTTGTATGTGTGGCTGATATCGTACATATATATATCATAAATCTTTGGGATATTTATCATTTTAGAAATTTAGTCTGAGAAATGCATTTATTGAAATAACAAACCCATTATATTTTAACATATTTTTAGCATTTTAAATGAAAAATAGTGTTTCCCCCCAGAAAATGAGAAGTGACATTGTTTTACATTTTGCAAATCTCATTTAAACTTCGGTTTATAAACCTGGATTCTCTCATGTACTTCTTTATTCAGTCTCTTGTAATTAGGCACATCAGGTAGCCTCTGGAAAACTTTGCTGTACACTTGTGAGAAAATGAATGAAAGGGGCAAGAAATGTTTTAGT